TCTCTCTCTCTCTCTCTCTCACACACACACACACACACACACACACACACACACACACAGAGATATGCAAGCTGCAGTGTCACAGGAGACAGTGCTACACATGTGCTGGAGAAGCTGTGGGCAGTGTTGCCTCTGCTGCCCAAAGCTCAGCTACAGCCCATAAGATATCATTTTGGTTTCTAACCATACATATTGAACTCACAATATCCCTTAAAACATAGCGTGTAAGATTGATAATTCAATTCAAATAAGATACCTCTAAAATAATCTCCCAATCTATGTGTTTGTTGGGCCACATGATGAGAATATATGAATGTTTGCTATATAATGCATCTTTTAGAAATTTGGGAAACCTAATCTTCATGAGAAATAAACCATTCTACTGCCATTGGTTTCAGTATTTCCAAGGATGACCTGAAATAAAAAGGGCGGGAACCAGCTGCACACAGACAACACCTGCAAGCTTTCCAAGAGCAGAGACATCCTTCCTAAAATCAGAGTGCTTCATATTGTCCTTACACCTTTGAAACAATTCAAAGAGGGAATGTCACCAATGGCATGAGAAAGGGTATTATGTGGTCTTTATTTAATGTAGTATTACAAGAAAAATGAAGAAACTGCATTGAAAATCCCTTCAATGGCCTCAATTTCTGAATAATTGCCCACTGCCTAACCTGAAAAGCTACTAATTAAGACTTGGCAAAAGTAGTCTATTGAGATTCTGGTCAAAAAATCTCTTTAAAACCAAGTCAACTCAGGCATAGCAGCACAAGCCTTTAATGCCAGTACTCTGGAGGCAAAGGCAGGCAGATGTCAATGAGTTCAAAGCCAGTCTGGTCTACAGAGAATATTGCAGTCCAAGACTACAATAGTAGAGATTCTGTCTCAAAAATGCAAAATAAGCCAGGTGGTGGTGCTTGCCTTTAATCCCAGCAGAGGCAAGTGAATCTCTGTAATCTCAAGGCTAGCCTGGTCTACAAAGTGAGTTCCAGGACAGGCTCCAAAGCTACATAGAGAAACCCTGTCTTGGGAAAAGGAGAAGGAGGAGGGAGGAAGGGGAGGAGGAGGAGCAAGAGGAAGAGGAGGAGGAAGAGGAGGAGAAAGAGGGAAGGAAGGAAGGAAGGAAGGAAGGAAGGAAGGAAGGAAGGAAGGAAGGAAAGAAGGAAAGGAAAGCAAAGTTACTATCAAGTGTAAGTCAAAAGACAGCATGAGCCAATCATGCAAGCATGGTTGGTAGTGAGAGCCTGTAATCCCAGAATTTGTGAGGCTAAATCAGCAGGACCATGGGCTCCAGGCCAGCCTGGGCTATAGATTGAGACTCTGGCTCAAAATAACAATAAAAATTAGTTAACATCTACTAAAATGTCAAAAGAACATCATTATAAAGTGTTTTAAGGATGTGGAGAAATGGCTCAGTGGTTAAGAACACTGGCTGCTCTTCCAGACATCCTGAGTTCAATTCTCAGTGACCACATGGTGACTCATACCTATCTATAATGAGATCTGATGCCCATTTCTGTCATGCAGGCATACATGCAAATAGAACACTAATATACAGAAATAAATCTTTAAAACATAAAAAATAAAAGCAAGTGCTGTGAGTCACACATACACCTTAATAAGAACATTATATACATGTTATCCTCTAGGCATTATTAGGTAAAGAATTAGACAGTGACCAACCTTGAGGTTCTCGAACTACTTGGCGAGCACTATTTGTCAAAACACCATCAGACCATTCTCTCGTATCCATGTCAATATGTCCTAATAACTGGTGTCTGGGCATAGCTTTGGGATTCATTGTATATTGTTTTACTACTTTGCCAATTTTACAAAGTGCAGCCCTTAACATCCTCCAAAGGGTAGACTTGCCAGCACCACTTGGACCAACAATAACAACTCCTGTCCTCTGGCGCAGCTGTTCAAACAATTCTAGAGCTTTCTTCATCTAGTAGGAAAGAAACATAGTGGTATGTTACCACATTCAGTTATACTCAATTCTATTGTCATTCTGCAACACCTTTCTACTAGAAATGCAAATTAGGTATGACTTCTGCCCTGGAAAATAAAACTTCAAATAGACCACGAGCTAAATAAATCAGAACACATTTGCAATGTGATCTTTAAGCTCAGAATTTGCCTTTTAAAGGGGTTGCTTTACATGAAGTTGAAAACATACATCTTTTATTTTGTTTAATCAGTTTTTAATTTGATTTTCCTCAGTTACTAATTCATAGTCTACTTCTCAACAAAAGTTGACGGGAAATGTTCATTTTAAATAATCATTTGTGCCACATAAGGAAGCTCTGTTAGAAGTCCTACTAATAAATTATCAAAGTGTAACTAAATTACATGTAATCAATAAGCAAAAGTTTACAAGATCTATCTATCTATCTATCACACACAAGACGCTGTGATGGGCAGTAGCCAGGAATAAAATGTTGAGCAAAAACATCTATAGATGCTGTCTTTCATGAAGATTACTATCTGGTGGAGAGTTAATACATAATTAACATTAAACATGCATGGATGACAGAAGTAACGATATAACATAGCAAGAGTCCCTAGTCAGAATGTGAAGACCCAAGAAGTGTACTGGAGTGATATTAAAGTTGGAAGATGAAAAATAAGTTGAAAGATGACTGATAAGATTGTAAATCAGGATTAACTAGGCAAAGGCATTAATTTATGATGAAGTATGACTAACATTACCTGATTGGGTATGACTTCATAATTGGCCTCCTCAAAGACATGCTTTAATGCAGCACTTAGTTCATTGTATTCTACTTCTTTAAAGTCAATTCCAGGAAAGACATCTTTGATCAGCGCATCAAACCGTATGCAATCAGCAAATGTGAATTTTGACATTGTATTAAGCCTCAATGCTTGTACCACAATATGATTTTCATTAACTATATAGGAAAAGTTTTATTTTAAAGTTATTTTTATTAGAAAAAAATCAGAATAATTTATACACTTTTTAAAAAAGAACAGCAAAACCACTCAATTAATTGATACAAGTACACCACACTACTGTAAGATGCTAAAATAGACAAAACTCAGCAAGGTTTACAGAAGATGTCTACATTCTATCTACAACCTATCAGTAATACAAACTATTCTAAACTAAAGCATATTTTTAAATTAAGTACTTTAACTAGATAATGAATCATACCATCTTGTTTTGTGCCAGTTTTCTTAAGCTGTCTCAGAAGATTGCCACTTCCTCTCAGTACGGTCTTCAAAGCTCTCAACCCCCAATCATAATGTTGCTGGGGTGTCAAAAGTTCCCTGAAGTAAAGATGTAAAAAGCTTATTTTGCAAGAAATTACTTTTAGCATGACATCCAAAGAAATGTAGACTAAGATGTGGAAATTAATAGTGGAAGTTCACTCATTTACATAAGAAAACCACTCATGCTGGGCGTTGGTGTCGCACGCCTTTAATCCCAGACTAGGGAGGCAGAGGCAGTCGGATCTCTGTGAGTTCGAGGCCAAGTCTCCAGAGCGAGTGCCAGGATAGGCTCCAAAGTTACACAAAGAAACTCTGTCTCGAAAAACCAAAAAAAAAAAAAAAAAAAAAAAAAAAGAAAAAAAAAAAAAAAAAGAAAAACCACTCACACAAAATAATCTCTAGAGGAAGCAGCTAAAGGGAGAATCACAAGCCACAGGGAAACACGTCATGAAGAGACAAGGACAAAGCAGCTACTCCTGTCATCACAAACTCTTCAATAGTCCAGATCACTCCCTACCTTAATACCATTCTGGTTCCCTAGTATCTAGTAAATGATATGTATCAGAACTCTGGGTTGCCTAGGAAGCTAAAAATTAACTTTTAACACTAGAAATAAATGTGAGACATCCTCTAGAGAGCTGCAGCTTCTGAGTGGTCAGCTAGGAAACGGGTGAAGTACGAACCATATAGTCAAAGCAGATCACATAAACAAACATCAAGTTAATGACAATTAAAAAAAAGAATAGTTTTGCCAGGCGGTGGTGATGTACACCTTCAATCCCGGCACTAGGGAGGCAGAGGCAGGTGGATCTCTGTGAGATCAGCCTGGTTTACAGAGTGACTTCCAAAACAGCCAGAGCTATACAGAGAAACCCTGTCTCAGAAAAAAAATAAATAAATAAAAGAAATTTTTAAAAGAACAGTTTTAATACAGATGTTTTATTATTACTTGGAATAAACTATGTCATATTTGTACTACAATTCAAAAAAACCAACAAGCTTACCATATACACTGGAAAATTATGAAAAAACAAGCCAATCACTAGAAATGAAAAGTGTTAATAATAAAATGGGAGAACCCACCTAGATAGGTTGAAAATAGCAACCAACTTTCTGCCCAATTCTTTAGCATCTTTGAAGCCCTCTGAATATAGAATCACTTCTGCAATAAGATCGTTGTCTGGACAAGACATCGCCACCGGCCTGAAAAGCTGCTTAAGATTATCTGGAAGCTTCTGCCTTCCTCCATAACCTTTTCCAGCAGGATTCATGGTGATGAAAATTCCAGAATTAGAATTTATTTCTACCTGAAATATTTATTAAGAATATAGGTTTCAAAGATTTTTAAAAGAGAAATTTTTGTTGTAATACAATTTCTACGAGTAAGTCCAACATCTTAGCAAAAGTGGCCTCTAATACACTAAACTCATCATTTTGGGATATATAACAAACAGCTCTGGAACCCACTGAATCATAGTGGATATCCTTCATAGTAAGTTTTCAAAGAATGTAAATTGAAGAGTAGATAACTCACTTCAATGTCTATTTACTCACAGTATGTCCTTGGAACTCACGTTAAATAGTGACTAAAAATAAAAGTTTTCAGAATTACACAAACTTTGATTCAAATCAAAGATACCTACAATTGTTTTCAAATCTTGATTTCTTCATCTACAAAGCAGAATAAAGTATTTGCCTTCAAAGACTGTACTGAGTATTAAAGGAGACAACACATTAAACCCCTATATACACTGTAATAGTTCAGAAACCTGAGAGCCGTTTCATAGTTAGAAAGGCTAGTCACATACATAGCTCACAGATTAAAAGCAGCAATGCCTGAAGATAGTGCAAAAGTGAAGCCCAGTCACATAAAGCATCCCTACCTCTTTGCCAAGCAGCTCACATACAGTTCTGTGATTCTTCAAAGCATCCTGAATGGTCTGGATCTGCATGGAAACTGCTGACAGTACAGCTTCTTCCAGTCTATTGAACTCATCAAAACAACCCCAGGCCCCACACTTCACCAAACCAACAAATATTCGCCCCATTGACTTCACATCAATGCCCTGAAAAAATAAAAATAATTTTCATTTAAAATGATGAAAATATTAATGCTAGAAATAATTTGATATTTTATACAGATAAGCAAACTAATCATTTTACCCATCAACATCTCCTTTGTTTGTTTAATAAAAATTAAGGCAAGAAAAGTGGTACCTGCCTGTAATTCTAGCCCTTGGAGGATTGGGAGGGTAATGGTGACTGCTAGTACAACCTGGGCTATTTGGAGAGACCCTGTGCAAAAGAAAGTCTAGGAGTAGGGGTTAGACTAAGAATCTACTCCTTCAAAATTCAGGGCAGTTTCAAAGAAAGTGTTCTCCAAAGAATAACAAAGACAGAAATTCATTTCAGTCTTTCTTGTTTTTGTTTTTCAAGACAGGGTTTCTCTGTGTAACTGTGCTCTCCTGGAACTCATTCTATAATCCAGGCTGGCCTCAAACTCTGACATCTGCCTACTCTGCCTTCCAAGTGCTGGAATTAAAGGCATGCACCAACACCACCACTGGCTCATTTCAGTCATTTTTAAGTCAAAGTAAAAAGCCTACACAAAATGTTTTGAAAACACTTAATATGTATTTGGGATTTTGTTGTTTTGTTTTTCTAATTTAGTATTACCCTTACTAAACAATGTTTTTCTCTGGTACAGAACAAATATTCATTACACATTTTAAAATGTTTCTTCATAATAATTTTCCTTAGTCAAGTATACTGTGTACAATCCCACAACATCTTGTCAATTCAAACCAAACTTTCATTTAATTGATTTAAAACTAGAATGATTTTAAACTGAATGTGGTAATGTATGCTAATAAAGCAAGCAATTGAGATACTGGGAGACAAGAACCACATAGGCCCAGGAGTCCATGGTCTTCATAAATAGTAAAGCAAGACATCACCATCAGTCAGTCAGAGATTTGAAAACAAAATCTCCCATACATACACACAAGAAAAAGAACCCAAAAATTCAACACAGTATGTCTTCATACTTATTGTTTGTACCTCATCACAATTAAAAACTAAAACTTGTCTCCCAAGAAGTCCGCCTAGCGCCTTCACCGATTCAGTTTTCCCAGTTCCAGCAGGTCCATAGGGATTCCCTCCAAGTCCCATCTTCATGGCTTGAGTCAGAGTTAGGTAGCACTTGTCTGTCAGTGGAGTATAAACCAGCTTGGAAGCATTACCCTATATAAGGGAAGCATGGTGTTAGCCCACTCATGTTCTACTCCATCCAACTAAAAGCCTCATATGCAGCACACAAGTTTAACTGCTCAGCACAGCAGACATTCAGTTTTTCTTAGTGAGGTAAATTCAAAAGGCAGAACCTGAGATAAACTTCAGTATTTCCCAAGCACATGTCTCATTATGACCTGAAAGACTTAATCAGGATCGAGGTTCCAAATAGTCTCTCTCATTCTTATTGAGGGCACAAAGACAATGCTGAAGACAAATATCCAAACATGGATTACACAGTAAATATGCCACTTCATATTTGCTAATTCATAATTTATTCCCTGAGGCTTCAAAGTAAAAATAATCTTTAAAATTCTAATGAAAATAACTAATTTAGAAAGTGGTTCTCAAGCTTTCTATGCTATAGGAAGAAGACACTCCCGTTTCTTCAGCCATTTGGAGGATGTGTTGTCATTTCCTTGTAGAAGGCCAACTAGCTGCTCCCAACATGATTATTCCAAATACTGATTCATTATGGTAGAAAAAGGCAGAAAGGATACAGCTGGATTTTCTTAGAACAAATTATATGAATTAGATCTTTTATCTGAAAAATCCTTTTCCTTGCAATCAGAAACAATCAGCTAACACATTCTAGCACAGTTATAAACACAGTATTGTGTGGAAAGACACATAAGCTCCATGGCTTTATTGGCTCTATCTATATATAACTCTCTTGAATTAAAGATCATCTGAAATTCAACATGAATGTTCCTCGTGGGAATTTGATGAGAAAGACAATGTAAAATTTTTTCTAAGTAGAGTATTTACTTTTTCTTTTATAGCCCCTGGCAAATTCTGACAAAAAAAGACAGTTAAAAAAACTGAAATAGAAGTAATTATATCTTCCAAAAGTAATTATCTTTAAATAGTTTCTTCCCCAAAAAATTCAAATGCTTCCACCATGAGTCCTACCTGGTACTCATATGTATACTGAAGTTCAGAATCCACCATTTGAACATAACATGTATGGTCACTTTTCATATAGAATCTAACTTGTTTCTTCCAAGCCCAGTCATCAGTTGTATGAACCTGAACTTGATTTAATTGTTTCACAATATCAATATTATGAATAATATCAAGGATTAGTGCCTTAAGCTTCAGCTCCAGAATGCCTGATTCTACACATAAAAAAAAAAGACACAATGTTAGTGTGAGTTGCATCCTGTGCACTCATGTGCTATGTCAAAGACTCTAAATGGCAATTCCAAGATTACCTGAAATACTGTGATAAAATAAATCATATAAAACCAAAAGTCAACAAGAAATAGCAAAACTTTGTAAAAAGACATAAAATTCAGTCAGATGTGGGAGCCCAAGAAAGGAAGCACACTCCATCGTTTTCCCATCTAAATGCAGCAGACCCCTGCATGGAAGGCTCTATGGCTCAAAAAGTAAGGAATAGCAGGCAAATTGGGGATGAGGGCCAGAATTACATCTGCTAAAAAGCCCACATGAAAGTTATATTCTTTTGTTGGTGCTAATTTGGTATGCCAGACCCCATATAATCAGGAGCTGAGCTTGGGACAGAACAGAGCTCTAGCAGGCCTCTAGCTAAAGTGTGAGAGACAGGAAAGAAATGCCTGGCCACACCCTAAAACACCTGACATCCGGGACCCCCTAAAATTCAAGGAGAAAACCTTGAGAAAAGGATTTATTTTCTCAAAAAGAAAATCCAAGAGAAAAGGGCAAATCCCACTTGTTCTCTGTCCTCTGTTCTCCCATGAGTAGCAGAGCCAACAGATGAGTTTGGAGCACACAAGAGGACAAATACATGGAAGTGCAACTTCCAAGCCGCAGGACCCAAAGGGATGCAGAAAATGCCTAGGAAGACAACACAGGAGGAAGACACTGGGATTTGCCCATAAACTCCATGCTGCCAAGAGGCAACATACCACACATGGACCAGAGTCATCCCTGATCTGAGGAGAGACTGGCTCTGCAGGAGCCACAACCCAGAACTTGTGATTCATGTCACTAAATCAAAAATGTCCACTTGCCCAGACACTCATAACAGAAATGTCCACAATGCACTTCACAATTATCTAATACTCAAAGAACCCAATCATCTGAATCTACATTAAAATAGACATTTGCTCTGGTATTGGTGCCAGAGTGAAGCAGTCAGAAACGACTACACAAGACTTTTTAAGCACAATTCAAACAGTGCTCCAGCAAAGCTGGGAGTGAGCACTATAACATCTGGCACTCAGCAGGTTAACCTGCTTACATGAGGCTTTGCCTCAAACAACAACACACTCCAAAAGGTAACAGGCAATTCTGAAATGAATGGGAACAATGCCAACAAAGAAGTAAAACAATGCACAAACAGAAATTTTATAGCCGAAAACCTACAAACCAGATTTTTTTCTAGTTTTGATTTAAATATGTAATACCTTTATTAACTCTTTGAGAATGTAATATGTTTTGATTGTATGAACTCCCCACTGCTCCCCCAAGTCCTTCCAGATTCACTCCCCATTTTTCCAACAGCATCTCCCAACTCATTCCCCTTCTTATAAAAAAAAGACATTTGCTTTAATATATATATAATAAATGTATTATGTGTGTGTGAGAGAATATTGGTTATAGACAGTTGTACATCACTAGTCAGAGAACACAAAGTAAAAATAAAGTGGAACAATATTTCAAAATGTTGGAATAAATAAACTGTTAACCCACAACAACCAATAAAATACCCATCATAAAAAAGGCGGAACAAAGGCGGAACAAAGGCGGAAGAGGACACCCTTAGGATGTACACTAATAGCTGGCAAACCCACTATGAAACACTTAAAAGTTATTGAGATGGAAAAAAAATGCAACCCTGGAGTATGCACTGAGGTATACCAGGTCAATTAGTCTTTTCCTCTCAAATCTTTAAACTACATCTTAGAGTTAAAAGCAAAAATTACAATCTCATGGAGTGTCAGTATATATAAATGTAACATGAGAGAAGGATAAAGAAACATATGTAGATAAAGCTTCAACTTTTCAACTTTCTACCTCAAGCAGTACATACTGATTTTGAGTTCAAGAGAAAGTTAAGTATAAGCCAGGCATGGTGACACACTTGTAATCCCAGCACTTGGCAGGCTGAGGCAGGCAGATCTCTGAGTTTGAGGCCAGCCTGGTGTACAGAACAATCCCAGAAAAGCCAAGGTTGTACAGAGAAACCATTTCTAGAAAAAGTAAGGAAAAGGGAAGGGAGAGAGGGAGGGTAAAGGAGGGAGGGAGGGAGAGAGGG